TTGCATGTTCTTCACATGTACCCCAAAACCTAAAATACAATAAAATAAATAAATGGGAAAAAAAAAAAAAGAAATCTAGTTTGCCTAAAGGAAATTATGTAAGTAGCTACATATAAGTATATGAAGATGAGAATTCAGAGCAATCACCTCCATTATGTAAAAAATATATGATGTCAAAAATATGAGTTATTTACTCCTTGAGCCTGTTTCTTTATTGATAAAAATGGAATCACGCCATACAGATACTGGGAACTACTATGGAGTCAGGGGCAAGGGCTGAAAAACTACCTACTGGGTATGATGCTCACTACCTAGGTGACAGCATCAGCTGTACCCTAAACCTCAGCATCACGCAATATACCCAAGTAACGAACCTGAACATGTACCCCTAGAATCTAAAATAAAAGTTGAAATTATTTTAAGAATGGAGTCACAATCTAGTACACAGGATTGTGGCAATTTTAAAAGCTAACACATTAAAAATCAGCTAGGACAGAAACTGACACATGGCCAACATTATACATATATTTCTTAGTTAACTACCTTATGACTGTTACTTACTTTTTACCTTCATGGATCATTTTTATTCTGTAACAACTATAAATTACACTTATAACAATTTCTCTTCATTGTTATTTCATATATTAATTCTTTCAAGAAACATGAAAATTAGAAAATTACATTTTCTATAGAAAATTTTAGAATACTGAACTGTTAGAAAACAAATACTCTTTATGGGATTAACAAACATTCTTTTTTTTTTCAAGAGTCATATTCTATATGGAATCACTAATAAAAATGTGCTGGACAATCCAAATTCATATACTTGATTAATAACTTATAACAGTATAATTTATATTAATACAAAATCTGAAGGATGTGATTACTCTGTTCCTATTTCATATCAATGTTTCTAAATCTTTAGAAGATGTGCACAAAAAAACTTACTAAGTCATCTATTACAAATGATACTGGTTTGCTTTTAAGTAAAGAATATATTTTCCTTCTAATCTCTGGAGAAAATTTTCCTATTCTGTTTGAGTATGCAAATCTGCTGCATAAGGATAACCACATCCCTCTTTCCATCCACTGCAGCAACCAACAGAAACCAAACTCACTGTGCCACCTCAAATAATTTTTATTGCCAAAGCCAAGTAAAATCCATATAAATATTTGATCTAAATACGAAAAATAAAGCCCAATTAATGGACATGTTTCCACAACAAATCCAAATACACCACAAAACTTCTGACAATAGTTATCAAGGAAAAACAATTATTAAGTAAGTACACTACTCCTGTCGCCCAGCCTGGAGTGCAGTGGCACAGTCATAACTCACTGCAGCCTCGACCTTCTCCACTCAAGCTGTCTGCCCACCTCAGACTCCTAAGAAGCTGGAACTACAGGTGTGCGTCACCACACCTGGCTAGTGTTTAAACTTTTTGTAGAGATGGGGTCTTGATATGTTGCCCAGGATGGTCTTCAACTCCTGAATTCCAGCAATCCTCCTGCATTAGCCTCCCGAAGTGCTGGAATTACAGACGTGAGCCATGGCACCCAGTCAAGACACTGCTCTCTAAATGTGATTATTATCGTCAATACCAAAAAAAATTTGCTCATGGTGATTTTTTTTTATTGTTTATAATTTTGTCTCTTTTTTCTTTTGGAGTAAATCAAGGCAGTCAACAGTGATAAATACATGCAATTCAACTCTCTTCATTTCATTCTTTCACATGCTCAAAGATAAGTACTCAATATTTTTTTAAGTAAAGAAAGGCTCAATGATGTCAACTAAAAATGAAGTTCTACAGATGGAATTTTCTTCTAGGGAAAGAAACCACATATTTTACAAGCCACAGAACAATAGAATTTCAGCAACAAAGAAATCCTGTAAGCATTTAAACCTGATATATGGTATTTTAACCATGAATCTTAACAAAGGAAAATAAACTAGAAAAACAAAAGTTCTAAGTTAAAACTAAACATTGTTCTAAAAAGATATCTCTGTCAAAATAAAAGTTCAAAACAAATAACTAATTCAAAGGCTCAAATTCTCACCTAAAGCAGTAAGAGCTCTATGACATGAAACTTCCATAGGAAATTTTAGGATCTCTGACACACACACAATGAAATATTTAAGTACTTAGGAGAAAAATGCACAGCACATATATACCAACTTGTATGCATGATTCTTCATGAGTACCAAAGAGACAATGTCCAGAGACCACTATTTTCAAAAGCAGGGGTTTTTCTAATCTATCTAATTTTTGTAGAGATGGGGTCTAGCTATCAGGCTGGTCTCAAACTCCTGGCCTCAAGCAATCCTCCTGCCTCAGCCTCCCTGCCAAAAGTACGTTATTTTAGAAGAATAGCTGGCTTCTATATTTTGCTTCTGCCTAAAAAACTTAAAAGGAGAGAGCAGACCACACCCTCAAAGATGCACTGTTATAAATAGTTCAGATATCACAATTGAAATTTTTTAATTCAAAGGCCACAAAGACTCTATCATTTCAAGTAAAGCCTTCTCATGGCCTATCATTTTGAGTCACCTGGAAAGTGCAGTATGATGATGGCTGTGTCTGCAGTCACTAAACCTTCACTCAAGAAGACCTGGTGCTTTAAACAAGTGTAAGCAAGTTGATCCTTTTGTTTTTTCAATTCAGCAACCTATACCCACTTCTATTTAAATGTTGTTCCACAAAGGAAGGATACAAATACAGTGTTTAAAAATACGGGCCAGGCATGGTGGCTCATATCTGTAATCCTAGCATTTTGGGAGGCAGTGGCAGGTAGATCACCTGAGGTCAGGGGTTGGAGACCAGCCTGGCCAACATGGTGAAACCCTGTCTCTACTAAATAAACAAAAAAAAAAAAAAAAAAAAGCCAGGCATGGTAGCGGGTGCCTGTAATCCCCACTACTTGGGAGGCTGAGGCAGGAGAATCGCATGAACCCAGGAGGTGGAGGTTGCAGTGAGCCAAGACTCCGCCACTGCACTCCAGCCTGGGCAACAAGAACAAAAGTCCATCTCAAAAGAAATAAAATAAAATAAAATAAAAATAGGGACTCCTGAGTGTGCATATGTGGAGGGTTCATTACAGTTTTTTAGACATTGAAATTTCCAAAATAAAAAGATAGAAAAACAAAGGGGAGAGAAACAGAAGTAAATGGAAGGAAGAAAGAAGAAAGAGAGGAAGAGAATGGGATGTCAAGTCAAACAGGGCTGGCTTTGAGTCTTAGCTCTCTAACTTATTAGCAGTATAAACTTGGTAAACCTAAGGTTTCTAATCTGCAAAATTTGGATAACAATTCCTGCTTTATGAGACTGTTAGGAGATTGGAATGAGATAACATGCGTATAGCATTTAAGACAATGTAGAAAGCTATCAAACCATTAACTGTCCTATATAATTATTTTATTGTATTCTAATTTGTTAGTTTAATGATGTTATAGTTTATATATCTAATGAGTTCATAACTTTAGGAATATAGCCAGTTATTCAACAACATGACACAGTATTTGTAAAACAAACAAAAATAAATAAATAAATAAATAAATAAATAACTGAGATCAAGAAATATATAGTTTTCAGCTGGTAATCCCAGCACTTTAGGGGGCCAAGGCAGGTGTTATCACCTGAGATCTGGAGTTTGAGACCAGCCTGGCCAACATGGTGAAACTCTGTCTCTACTAAAAATACAAAAATTAGTCAGGTGTGGTGGCACGCACCTGTAGTCCCAGCTACTTGGGAGGCTGAGACAGGAGAATCGCTTGAACCTGGGAGGTAGAGGTTGCAGTGAGCCAAGATCGTGCCACTGCACTCCAGCCTGGGTGACAGAGCAAGACTTCATCTCCAAAAATATATATATATGTGTATGCATTGTGTGCGTGTTGTGTGTGTGTGTGTGTATTTTGCAATAAATACTTTCTGGAAATTTACCTTCTTATAAGGCAATAAGAACAAGAACTCAAGAGCCAGACTGCCTACATTTAAGTTCCAAGTCTGCCACTCACCAGTTGTAAGACCACAAGCAAGTATTTACTGTGTCTTGGTTTCTGTCTGTTTACTGGGATGACAACAGGGATGCTGTGAGGAGTAAATGAATTAATATATGTAAACTGCTTAGAAAAGTGCCTGGCACTTAGTAAGTGCTACGTTAAGTATTAATGTGGATTCAATTGGTTATCATTCTCACCAGGACACTGTTTACAACCGCAAAACTGGCAATTGTTAAGTCCACTCACTAGAGTAATTAGACTCAGAGATATGAATTGGAAAACTGTGAGCTACGAGTCTGAACTAAACTCTAACCTTCATACTCAGCAATTCCTTATAGGCAAAATCTTGATCATCTACCTGCAAATTCTATACATCAAAGTTTGCAATCTGCTAAGTTACTGCCAAAATCTGAAGAGGTATTATAGCCGCGCACGCGTGCTCGTGTGTGTGTGTGTGTGTGTGTGTGTGTGTGTGTGTGTGTGTACAATACAATTCAGGATGATGGCCTCTAAGTAGTAGAAATGTGATTTTTAAATTTTTCTTTATTTTCTTAAGCCAGAGTCTCACCCTGTCACCCAGGCTGCAGTGCAGTCACATGATCATGGCTCACTGCAGCCTTGACCTCTGGAGTAGCTGCCACTATGCCAAGCTAATTTTTTGTACAGAGAGGGTTTTACCCTTTTGCCAAGGCTGTTTTCGAACTCCAGGGCTCAAGCAATCCACCCACTTCAACTTCCCAAATTCCTGGGATTACAGGCATGGGCTTCTGCATGCAGCCAATTTTTTAGTTTAATTTTTCTGTATTTTCTAATTTTTTGCCATGCTTTTGCTTCTATAAAAATAAAAGTTTATTTTAACATTCAGAAATGAGTCTTACAGTTGTATAAGGAAAAAAATCCACAAATTCCATACCTGTATTTGTGAATGATGGCATTAAATAATTTTCCATCCCTCCAGCAGGTAGTGAAATTTTCACACCGAATTCCAGCATAACCCTCCGTTGCCTGCTGCGTCCAGAGTAGCAATCTCTCTTTTGCAGACATATCCTCTGACTCTCCAGTAACATGGATATCAGATATCTAGATATAACAGAAAGTGTTAAACCTTTAGGAAGGAAGGAAGCTAACTCAGACTAAGAACCTACTATGTGCCAAGCACTTTCCAAATGTAAAATTAGGATATAACAATTCCTGCTTTATGAGGTTGTTAGGAAATTTGAATGAGATAACATGTGCATAGGACTTAAGAGAATGCCCTACATGTACAAAGTTATCAAACCATTAGCTATTCTATGTAATAATTTTTATTCAGCCCTCATATCTCTCCCTTAAAAATTTTCCCCATTTTACATATAGGAAATAAATTTTCTCCATTTTACATGCAGAAAATCTGAGTTTCGAGGGATTAACAACAAATTGAAAAAGTCAGATTTAACTCGTGCTCAATTTAAAAGCATCTATTCTATTTTTACTAAACCAAAACTCTACAGCATTAAAAATTCTATATTCTTCTTCCCTAATCAGATTTGCTAAAACAACTTAAGGAGATGTTTCTCCAAGTTCAAATGGATCAGCAGTAAAACCTATAAATTACAATACCACCTGCAGAACAGAATTTGATCCAACAAGTATACCAGGTAAAGAACAAAGAAAGAAACAGCGTTCTCTTCTATTAACTATGTTACATAATACTTTGGCCAGAAGTCACTAATTCTCTCAGTCCTAGCTTGGCTTGCTCAACCTGAAACCTCTACCAGCTGATTTTTTTCTCCTGTATTTTGTTTTCATGAAATTTTCTAAAACTCTTTTCCACTGAATAATGATAAAACAGGTCATCAGTTTCCATGATTTACATTCTCCCAAGAGCACCTCTTTGATAAGGGTCCTACTTAATCTGCTGATAATTATATTAAGGCACAAAGTGACTTTACTAGGGGTCACACAGTAATTCCAAAGCTGGGATTAACACCACCAACAACTGTTCCCTCAATCAGAGCCAGATGCAAAGTCAAGGGATCAAGAAGACAGGTGGCATGCCAGGATCAAGATGAGCAAGTCAGAGATGGGAAGCAAGACATAGGAGAAACAAATCATTCTGTAACAGGGAAAATATCACTAGACTATAGAGACATGAGACAGGCTTCTAGACCTGATCCCTAGTCCAGTAGCTTTGAATAATTCATTTCATGTTTGTGAGTCAACTTCCTTATCTATAAAATGAGGAGGAGGCAGAAGCAGATAATGTTTAGGACTCTTTTCAGTCTAAAGTTTTACTAAGAGGCTATAAACTCAACACAAAAATCAGAGGTCACAATAGGCAGAGTCATGATAAAAAACTCCAAAGAAAACCTTTTACATGTGGTAGTGCCAGACTCAAAGAGGAAGCCCTTTATTCCTCCCAGCTGCCACAGTGCCAGAGGCACAGCCAACCCAGGGACCCAGGGCAGGAAGGCTGTGGCAGTGAAAGCCCTTGCCAGGCCTGGCAGCTCCTGACAACTTCACTTGTTGGAAATGAAGTGGGGGTGGCTGGGGGCAGCGGGGATCACACACTCCTCCAGTGTTCGTCAGAGGCTGCCATGCCTCATGGAGCTTCACTCTCATCCACAGTCTGAGACACTCTGCTTGACTAACGGCCAGGATTTAAAAGTGGAACAAACTGTCTCAATTTTAATAATCTTTGCTAGGGATCTGTGTCAATCTCCAGAGCATGAAAAAGAGCTCTGTACATAAACACATCATATAATATACATAGAAAAAAAAATTTTTTTTTATGTGAGAAAAACAGCATAAAATTTCCCAATATTCTTTGGCCCAAGTTCCAGTGATATTCTGGTCTAAAATTATGCTGCAGTGGCTTTCTGGCACATCCCAAGAGTTTAAATCCCATCTCAACTATTTACATGCTCACGTTACTTAACTGCTTTAAGCCCTTTCCCTTACTTGTAAAATGATGACAAAAATTATACTCTGTTGTGAGAATTCAACAGCATTAGCACAGTGTAATGCCTGGCTCATAGTCAGTACATGCTCAATACAGGTGAGCTATGTTATGGTTGTAGTTATTGTTATTCTTTTTGAAAAGGGGAGAAGTAAAACCTTGACTTTATTATTTTCTTAACTCTCTTCCAATAAAGAGGAATAAAAAAGTAAGTTTTTGAAATTTGCTGCCTTAAACTAATGAATATCTATGATCACAACGGTTCAGATAAGCTAATCTAGGAAACTGTGAATGAAAAAGTTGACGCCGGGCACGGTGGCTCACACCTGTAATCCCAGAACATCGGGAGGCCAAGATGAGAGGATCACTTGAGCCCAGAGGCTGGGCTGGGCAACATAATGAGATCCCATTTCTACTAAAAAAAAAAAAAAAAAAACTTAGCCTGCCATGATAGCATGTGCCCATAGTCCCAGTGACTAGGGAATCTGAGGCAGACCATTTTGAGTCTAGCAGGTCAAGGCTGTAGTGAGCCATGATCACACCACTGCACTCCAGCCTGGGCAACAGATCAAAGCCCTTTAAAAATACAAAAAATAGAAAGAAAAAATTGAGCCTCTTGTCTCTATAAGCCTTTAAAATTATAAAATCAACTGCTTTGGGAAATGCTTACAATTCAAGAGACACCTAGATTCTATGTATACTGACAAAAAAGGTAGATAGCTGGGGATGTCAAGGACTGTTTTCTACCAATTCCACACCAGTCAGTTACAAAAGTATTACCTATTAACTAGAAAAGTCAGCAAAGTTCAACTACAAGGTACCAGCTTAGGTTCAAGTGCCACACAGTAGTTTTACCAGAGGAAGGAAGTTAAAGGAGGTTAGAGGTCTGAAAATGGCCTAAATATCAAGAGAAAATAATGTATTCTTGTTAAATAAGTTTCCAATAGATGAATTCCAAATTGTTACAAACAAAATTTCAGACAGTTATACATACACACACTATTAAAAAGCTATAATGTTTTTAAATGCATATTCAAAAGTATATTCATATAATTTTATAATGCATATTCAAATGTTATGAACCAAGCTTTAACATATCAAACATTAAGCCAAGTCCAAGAGTCTACTAGGCCCACAAGCAGAGTAGGTGAATTCTAATTCCTCCATTTTCAGCTTTTACTGCTATTTCCAATAAACTGAGCATCATCCTCTTACAGCAATTTAAGGTATTTTTTAAAAGACTGTTACCATTAGCCACTAGTATATCAGACTTTTCATGATACTATGCAACCAAAACTAAAAGGAAAAATAAGTTAAATTCTAAAAATTGTTTAAGGCTTCAGTTGTCATTCATAATCCCTGATGTGAAATCTATATGTTCGGCAAAACAGCCTGAATCTTCCACCAATGACAGGTTAATGGTGGTTCCACATTAAGGACATTCTAGAAAGTAATCAAGGTACCTCCCTTCAAAACCTCGAGGCAGTGTAGTGATAATCAGAGAGGTTTTCAATTCATGCTGTCTTAGTTTAAATCTTAATTCTAACAGTTAATGAAAATGAATAACCCAGACTACTCACATAATCTCCTAAAATCCATTTTCTTTCTTTCTTTTTTTTTTTTTTTTTTTTTGAGATAGAGTCTCACTCTGTTGCTCAGGTTAGAGTGAAGTGGTGTGATCCTGGCTCACCACAACCTCCACCTCCCAGGTTCAAGTGATCCTCCTGCCTCAGCCTCCCAAGTAGTTGGGATTACAGGCATGTGCCACCACATTCAGCAATTTTTGTATTTTTAGTAGAGACAGGGTTTCACCATGTTGGCCAACTCAGTCTTGAACTCCTGACCTCAGGTGACTCACCTGCCTCAGCCTCCCAAACTGGGAGTTTGGAAGCCACTGTGCCTGGCCTCATTTTCTTCACCTTTAAAACTTAAATAATAATAACAACAACCTATCCAAAAAGAAAATCAAGAAAGCAATCCCATTAACAATAGCTTTAAAAAAAGACTTAGTAATAAATTTAATCAAGGAGGTAAAAGAAAACATTGATGAAAGAAACTGAAGAAGTCATGAATAAATGGAAAGATATCCCATGTTCACGAATTGGAAGAATTAACACTGTTAAAATACGTCCATATAGCCAAAGCAATCTACAGATTCAATGCAATCCTCACCAAAATTCTCTTGACACTTCACACAGAAATAGAAGAAACAATCCTTCAGTTTGAATGGAACCACAAAAGACCCCAAATAGTTAAAGCGATCTTGAACAAAATGAACTAAGCTGGAAGCATCACACTACCTGACTTCAAAATATACTACATAACTATAGTAATGAAAACAGCATGGTACTGACATGAAAACAGATAGATAGACCAATGGAATAACAGAGAGCCCAGAAATAAACCATGCATTTATGGTCAATTGATATTTGACAAAGATGCCAATAACACACAATGGGGAAAGAGCAGTTTCTTCAATAAATGATGTCTGAAAAACTGGATATCCACATGAAGAAGAATGAAATTTGATCCCTATCTTACAATATATACAAAAATTAACTCAAAAATGGAACAAAGACCTAACTATAAGGGCTAAAACCATAAAACTCTTAGAAAAAAAAATAGGCACAAAACTTCTGACTCTGGGTTTGTTAGCTATGATGTCAAAAGTACAAATAACAAAAGAAAAATTAGAGAAGGTAAACATCATCAAAATTTTAAAATTTGGGACATCAAAGGACACTATCAAAAAGTGAAAAGATGCGTTAGCCAGGTATGGTGGTACACACCTATAGTTCCAGCTACTTGGGAGGCTGAGGCGGGAGGCTCACTTGAGCCCAGGAGTTTGAGGATGCAGTGAGCTATGATTGTGCCACTGGACTACACCCTAGGCAACAGAGCAAGACCCTGACTCTAAATTAATTAATTAATTTAATTAAAGTTAAAAATAAAGTGAAGAGAAAATTCATAGAATGAGATAAAAATTTGACAAATTATATATTTAATTAGGGTCTTATATCTAGAATGTATAAGAAACTATTAACAATTCAATAAGGCCGGGCGCGGTGGCCCACGCCTGTAATCCCAGCACTTTGGGAGGCCGAGGCGGGTGGATCACGAGGTCAAGAGATCNTAGATCCTT